TTGTTTCCAGCAGTAACAGTTAGTGTTTGCGAACTGCCATCGCGTGTGTGCGTATTAGGAGATGGTTCTTTGAGGTAGACGGTTGGCGGCGCTAATTCTGCCGTTAGGGCCACTAACCCTTTTCAGAAGAAGAGAACACAAAGAGATGGTGGTGAGTAAACGTGCACCAGTCAAACCTGAAGTGAGTTTCCTCATCGCTCTACACAGATCGGATGTTTGAGCCTCTCCAGCTAAAGATTAAGTCGGTGTCGTGTGAAAGTAAATGTAAAATGGTGTCAAAAAACAAACAAAAAAAACATGATGTCATGGCATGTATGGGCTGTACTTTATTTCTTAAATGCCAAATAAATTTTTCTGTCATTGTATTTTGACAGCAAAAAAGCAGATCTCTACATCTGAGAAACCTTTGTTTTGTAAAAGTCCAGGTAACTAAATTGTTTAATTACATTTAATTGATTTTCTATTGATCACATTGGCTTGACTAATTGGCATTTTATCTAGTTTTGCTCATTAATATCCATCTGAGACACTGTAACAGTGTGTGGTCTTGATTATAATGTTAATTCTTTACTGAATACTTTTAATATGAATTCCATGAAATCCTCTGTGTGTCTGGCAAACTCCTGCCTGTAGACGTCTGGATAAAAAACAAGAGTTTTTAGTTCAGTTCAAAACGTGACTGCTAGCTTGTGTGGCTTGTTTCTTCCTCTACACTTTTGTGTTTTCTGTCTACATAGATGTTGGCTGCTGTGCTTTTTGCAATTTCAAATCTTTTGTTAAGTTAAGGCTGTAAAAAAGAAACACAGCTTGATTTGTTCTACTGTTTTAACAATGCAAGAATCGTTTGCGTCTGCCGCAGCACTGACCGGATCTTTGATGCGTCCAGGTCAGTCCTAATAATGTGCAGGATCAGCATGTTGGCAGCTCTCGGCTTACTGCTTCCTCTGATCTCACCTGCTGCCTGCATGTGTGTTTAAGTCCCACTCAATCTCCAGATACCCCAGCTGATCGGGTGTTTGACCACACACACACACACACACACACACACACACACACACGAACAGCAGCCAACAACTGACAGAACCACCTGAAGTCCACCTTGTTGCAGGGCTGTCTTCATTCCTGCAACAATGGAATTAATCAGCACTACATATATATGAACTGGTCAGTCTGGATTGTATAAAGAGGGAAATATGTTCACCAGGATGACAGGATAACACCAAAAATTAATTCAGTCATGGACTTTGGAGTTAATATCGAGACGTCCCCAGATTCTGGTGTCTTACAGTTTCTGGTGAGCTCCACACCATCCAGCCTTCAGGTCAGAAATTCATTTAGTGTCTTGTGACTTTGACTAATCCAGCATCAAACAACTTTTAAAAGTTTATTAACCTTAGTGTTCATCATTTTACGAGTAAACAAAATCTGTCGCTGGATGAGCGAACAGACAAACTACAGATGTCATGTGTCCACAAACACTCTGTGGCAGAGTTCATTCACCAGTTTGTAAGAAGCACATTAACCAACAAACTGGAGTTCAGTGGACACCTTCCACCGTTAACATTAGTGAGCAGCGGCTGGAGTCGACTACCAGCGCGTCAGTGAGGAGCTGAAAACAAGTATTTGGTTTTGTCTTTTTGTTTTTAAAATCAAATCTTTCAACATTAAGCAAGATTTATGGTGGCATGGCAGACATCATACTGTCACCTTTTGTCACGATTGATTTTGCATATTGACCATTTGTTGTATCAGTTTGTTTTTAAGTGTTAGACATGCATTTTTAATTTCCCCTCGCTATCTGGGATTAGTAGGGCCTGAAAAATATATAAACTAAATCCTACCTTTGAACGAGAAGTTGTTTTTGAGAACAAGGATGTGCTCATGTTTTGTATTTTACTGTTTGATACAAAAAATTCAGCAAAGTTGTTTAAAGCTGTTTATTTTAATAAAGAAACTCGGCTGTGTAAAAGCAAAATGCGGCATTTGATTAACTTTTTGTAGCTTTTTAAACATTTCCTTGCCCCGTACTACAACCAGGAACTAGCTGTTGATTCCTCGCAGCTCCTGGGTGAAACTGGAAATCTGCAAAAGACCAATGGGCCAGTGTGAGGCAGCAACACATGCCGGGACGTTTCATGCAAAAATCTTTCACTCGGAGCTCGGCACTAGGACTAGGGATGTCCTTCTGGTCTGTAGGAACAGTCTGTCGTACTTATCGGCTTGTGTGAAATACTGAATAACACACAAGATTTCCCAGAGCAGCGTCTCTCTGTGCAACACGGTGGGGTTTCCAGGTGGACCATCTCTGGAAGATGCACAGCAGAAGTTGTGCGGACTGAATTTTACTTGTTTTTCAGTGTTGTATGCGGTTGTTTTTTTGTTTCTTTTCCTACTTCTGTTGGTATTTTTAATGCAATAGTCCGAACCGGCTATAAATAAGAGGTGACAGACGTTACCTGCATGTTTTGAGCTTTGGCTCGTCAGGGAAGATAAACGCTTGAGTAAGACGTGAATGGTTCTGTGTGTTTTTCTAACTAGAATGGAACCGTCCTTAACCTCAGTACCCACCTCTCTCTGTCGACAGGTTTGGATCCCTCTCCTTCCACCTCAACGGCACCAGTCGCCCCCAAAAAACCTCCTGCTAAAAGACCTGCAGCCCCTCCCCCTCCATCCCACTCCTCTGCTTCATCCTCCAGGAGGCTGAAGCGACTCTTAGAGGAGGAGCAGGATCCAACGTCTGCCGTCGCCACGCTGCGCCTCCTCAGACAGAAGATCCCTCTGCCCACAGAGTCCAGGTGTGGGATCGTCTCTTCTGCCTCACTTCTCACACGTCCACTCTTTTACTCACAGATCAGTTCAGCGTGATGGAGCCAGTGGCCGACAGTAGTCAAATATCTTTCTGTAGATCGTAGTTTGATTTAAGTTAAACTCAAACTGTAAAAGGAAATCTGGAATGTATGATGAGCTGCACTTGTAGGGCTGTAAAATGCAAAAATCATGCTGGTTTTCATTGCAAATGTGTTTTTACTTGTCGCATGAGGGTTTAGACGAGTGGTTTTCTTTTTAAAAAACACTGTGTCTGTTGAATGAGGTTGTTATTCTACATTGTGTCTGCAAGTTCACCAAGTTAGCCTCAAATAACATTGATATGAAAGAGAAGTTCAGGTCTAACGAGTCAAACTAAACATGCAGCTTAAACTGTATCAGACAGATTTATTTGCCGGCCGTATTTCCAAGATGCTTATAATTTAAAAGCTGCAACAATGAATTGATTTAATCCATTTTTTTTCATCACATACTTGGTAATTCAGTTCCAGCAGTTCAGTTTGAGAACTTTTCTGCTTTTCTCAGTGTTAGAATATAATAAATTTGACATTTTGGGGCCTCAGTTGGACAAAACCATGTGACCCTGAACTACTTTGCTGCCTTCGTTTTGTGCTTTCAGACATTGTGATGGGCTTTTTTTCTTTCTTTTTTTTTTTTTTTACACACATTTCTCAAAATTGTTTAATTAGGAAATAAAACAAACAAAGCTGCAGATGACAGACTGAAAGTATTTATTACCTCCAGACCAAATTATTACATTTTGGAGGTTTTTTAATTCAAGTCCAAACATCAATATCAAAAAAAAAAAATTGTACTGTTTTGTAACGTAATGCTATAAAATGTCTACACCATCCGTTTAGACATAGACAGTAGGATAGATATTAGTCATGATGATCTGTACAACCCTGAAGATCCTGTGTCCTCATGAAACCTGCAGGTCCATTTCTTGATCTTATAGAAACCTGCTGCAGATTTGCGTCAGCACAGATCGTTGCTGCTGTCTGATGAAAACCTCAACAAACAATTAAACACCATCCCAACAAGCTCCATTTGATCACACACACTTTGAGTTTAGTCTTAATGTTTACTTTGCTGTTCTGTTTTCCGTGTTCTTCAGCAGCGACTCTGGTCCCAGTTCATCTCAGTCCGGTTCAGAACAGAAGGCTGCTGATGCTCCTGTGGTTCCATTCGGTTTGGATTTGTACTACTGGGGTCAGGAGCAGCCCAACGCCGGCAAGATCATCAAGTAACACACCGGACACCCAAACACGTTACCACCAGTACACATAAAGGCAAAGCCGACACAGATGTCTGTGTTATGTCATGACTGTTTCATTTTTAGCATGATAGCGAACATGAAGAGGCTCTTTCAGCTCGTCTTATTTCCTTCTTCAGGACTGTCAGTCGTTATTTTGCTCCAAGTTCAGTCAGAAATGAATCTGAAAGTTTCCTAACCACTTTTTTTTGTTTTGTTTTGTCTTTTAATTCCAGACAGCAATAAAACTGTCTGGAACCGTCTCTAAAATCTCCACATTTTGTCCTGTAGGTCAGCCTCTCAGCATCAGTTCTGGGTTCCCAAAGAGGTGGAGGAGGAGGTGGAGAACCAGGAGCTGCTGGCGGAGAGCAGGAGCAGATACATCTCGTTCCCTGGGACCTTCACGCCCGTCAGCCATTTCTGCAGAGCTCCACTGGATAACGGAAAACTGTGTCAACGGCAAGATCGCCTCAAGGTAACGGGCCACACACGTATTTACTGTCTGCTTCTTGGTTGCCCTCATGGTGAGCGTTAGAGCTGTAACTGTTTGCCCTCCAGTGTCCTTTCCATGGTCGGATCATTCCTCGAGACCAGGAGGGTCGACCCTGCAGGCCGGAGGACCGACGGAGGGAGGAGCAGGAGGAGAGGAGGAGAAGAGAGCAGCAGCCTGGTGAGATACCAAAGATCACATGTTCCAGAACTAACATGAACAAAATGTGCCTTCAGAGGATTGCACTATGAAGGCCACAAGTCTATATGACCACCACCATAGTTGCATCTTATGGTCTTTCTAAGACTAAGATGATATTTGCTCTTTTTTATAAGTCAAAAAAGCTAACTCAGCTTCCACCTAGTCGTGTTTCCCAAAGTGTTTAGTCTTGCAGTCATCTTTAACAGGGATATTGTTTGACATCTAGTCCATTAACCAGATTTTTCCACAGCTGTCAGATGCATCTCTCTCCTCTGCAAAAGGTTTGCTTTTATTGACCAAAATCATAGTTTTGACTAGAAAAAGTTTGCTTTTTGCTCTTTTTTGTACCCCAACATGTATTTAGTACTTTTTTCCAGAGTTTTTCATTGCACCTTGTGCCATATATATATATTAAAGAGCTTCTACGTACTGGTGTATTAACATTACAGAAACATAAGAAATGATTTTAGTAATTACTAATGCTGTTAATTTAGGGCAGCTGTGACATAAACCTTCCATCAGGCGGTGGTCTAATACATCTGTTGATCATTTTCTGTAAACATGCATGTTTTACACTTGCAGCATTGACAAGTACAAAAAAATAAACTGAAAATGTAAAAGCTCCATGAATGTAGAATTTATGGCCGAGCTGTTGTGTTACATTGCATTAGATGCTACAGGAGCAGCTAACGAGTGATGTACCTAAAATGAGTGTAGGTGTCACACAGAGGGAGAAAACTTTGACATCAACATGCTACAAAGAGTTCGCTATAAAAAAAAGTTAAAATTAAAAAAACAAAACGCTGAATGTAATCCAGAGTTTTGTGAATGTTCAGTCCAAATTTCAACCCAATCCCACGAAAATCAAACAATCCAAAAGGAATCACAAAAATGATGCATTCAGCATTAAAGGGCAAATTTAAAAAAAAAATCCTAACTGAAGCAGCTCTTGGAGCAGAGCTTTGCAACCTTTAGGAGGGTTAGGGGAACTGGAATGGGATGACTCTGCTCTGTCACATGAATAAGTGGCTCAGTTGGACAGATGTGGCTTCATAATAACGATAATATTCATCACAGCTCAGTGTGTTAGCAGCAGTCTGGTAGTCGTCTGTTCTGTGCATCGTCTTTGTCTGACTGTCTGTGTGTTTGTTCTGTGTGAGTGTGAGCCAGTTCGCAGGATGTCCACCAGCTGCCTGCAGTGTCTTGTTAACCAGCTCCGTGTGTGTGTGTGTGTGTGTGT